CAGGGGCGGGCGTGGACCGGCACCGGCACCGGCAGGGACTGGTGCGGTGCTGCGCTGATGAGGTTGGGGTTGGCTGATAACCCCGGTCCTGGCAAAAGGAACGCCATTTCCCTGTAACTTGTGGCTGCCCCCGTTTTATGCGAGACAGGGCCGCGTTTATCCCCTTGGGGATAGCGTCCGTTGGGAGCTCTGCGTGGCACCGTTATACGTTAACGGCAGATGATTCCCCCCGTGTCTCTGGCCCCATCGTTGCCGTTAGTACATCCACGCTCCTGAAGGACCGGCCCGGCCCCTGGTGGAGCTGAGACCTGGCAGGAGCCGTGGCAGCCGGGGTGGCCTCTCCGCCTTCCCTGGACTTGCTGCTTTGTGTTGACTAGAAAAGAGGAGACAATTGTTCACGCACCAGATGCGAAGTACTGCATCACTCTAGTTTGATTCTGGCTCCTAAAGACTATGTCCAAACAAAAGCCTTTTATATCCTGTACTCTTTGTTCTGCTAAGAACTGTAATGGTTGTCAGAACTGGATTCCCGTGTGCCCTCAATTACAGGCCATCTGAAAATCATCAAAAGGTAATAATTTTGTTTAGCCTTTGGTTTTGAAGTTGGGCCATGGCTAAAAATTTAGGGTCTATTTTAAAATTTATGACCCTTCTTATTTCTCGCCTTTAGAAATACTTATGCTTTAACTGTTCTATATTGTCCATGTACAAAGGATACAAAAATATTGAGAATTACATTATTTCAGGGATTTCTTAGAATCAATCTCTTTTTTTGTTGTTGTTGTTTAGCATTCCCAGCTCCTTATTAATGTGAAAAAGTGCTGTTTCTACACAGGCCAGATCTGTCTTTCTGCCTAAAATTAAGTCTCAGTTACAACTGAGTATAGGTTGGTCTTTGCAAAATATTTTAAACACAGAAGTAACATTTGGGGGAAAAAGTGTTTCAGCAAGGAATCAGTAGTGTAATCCACTTATTTTTAAGTATGATTCCCGTTTTTCTTCATGACTTAGTCAAGCAAGGGATGTCATACATACTCCCTTATGTGTTATCCAAAGACAGAGACAAAGTATCTGACAGCAGAGGAGGATTTAGCGCAGTCAAAAAAACCCCTGGGAAAATGCTATTCACCAATATCAAATTGCAGCTGAGGCTTACGTTTCAAGCATTGTATTCTGCGCACTTTGAAGAGGAAATTGTGGCCATATCTATATTTAGTAACTGGTATGTGATAATACTAATGGAATATGGATCTTATCTAGTTCCAAAAAAACCCTCAGGTTTGATAGATAGGTTTGACTTGTCCATGCTTTCTACTTAGAGAGATGTAAACATGTAGGAGTTTTTTTCACTAGCGTATTTATTGATTTTTTTAAAAAATAAGCATCAAGTATAAGTGCAAACTGAGGTTCCAGATGCACTAATATGGAATATAATTATGAATATATTCAATATAAACCCACATTTTTATTATAAGTAAAACATGCTAAGATAATAAGCTATGCTAAATTATTCTACAAGTATGCTCAAAATTGCATGTATGTTTTGAAAAAAATACACATTTTAATGACATACAGAAATGACAGACTACAGAACCCAGTAAAAACAGTAATTTCATCTTCCAGAATTTGCAGTTATTATTTTTGCTGGAATAAGAAGTACAGCATGGCATTTTAATTCCATTTTTTTCCTGAAAATGAAAATTAACAGTTCTTGAACTTTTTTAGCTAAGAAAATAATTTCCAAAGGAACTTGATGAATTTGAGAAATTTAGCTTTAGGATAAAATCCAGTCAGTTTGAGTTCATATAAGTGATTATTTTCTTTATTTTAATGGATTCATGTGTTTGTGAGAGGATATGCAATTAAAGATCACTGCTTGCAGAGAGGGAATCTTCCACTTTTGGAATGCCTCCAGGAATCAGTGCAATTTCACTGCTTCCTACTGGTACCATGCTGGGGTTTTTTTCATGCTGTTTTTTTTTAAATCACTTCTAAAGAGCCCAAAGCTTTAAAGTCTCTGTGTCACCTTTCCTTCTTAGAATACTGTCTCAACATGTATTATTGATAAATGCCACTTTTGTGGATTAAATGTCTCAGAATGTCACATGCATCCTTTTTGATTGTCTAAAAATGATTGACTGGATATTAATTTTCTCTGAAGTTCAGTTATTTATGAAAAAGCTGTGAGACTGAGTTGCATTGAAATTTCCAGACAGGAACCTGGAATTCTGTTACTGTCTGTTTTCAATCTTAGACAGTCAATGACAGTCAAAACAATAATAAAATCTGAAAGTACAGAACTTTGTACTTAGTATTTATACTTTAATTAACATTTCAATCCACTCTTGTCTTTTTAGTCGGCAGTTAGAAGTGTCAACAAATCCTTTAGATACCTGTTCTATTCATATTCATCTTGATGAATATTAAATTAGATGCCATTAAAGGAGATGTGTAGTGGGGAGTAGTATCTTTAAAAATTAACAAATTACTGATTTCTCCCCCTTTGAATAGATTAGGAGTGAAAATAGCAAATCATCTTGATGGGTACATAGTAGACTTAATACTTATATTTAATATTAGATTTTAAAATGCTGACCTTGACCTTTTCAAAACTTACAATAACTGTACAATTAAATTTTGTATGAAAAAAAATCTAAAACTTCTCTAGAGAAATGTATACAATTTCTTTATCTTCGTTGGTCTTAATTCTTTCTTCCTCAGTACATAAAGGATGCTGTAAAATACCAGCATTTAAGATTTCTCTTTTAAAATCCTGCTATCTAGTAAGACATATTATCCAAGGTGGGAGAAGGCTAAGTGACAAAGGTAATGTTCTCTTGAGGAACAATTTATTTCTTACAAGATACCTGCTAAGAACTATTAAGAATATTCTTTTTTTTATTGGTGAGAGAGTGCCAAACAGAGTGCTGTAGCACAGCTATATTGTGCTTCGAGATAAAGCAGATAGATTGTTCTACAATTGTTTGTAAATGGCAAAGTACCAAATAAAGGTTGAGTTTAGACTGGTTTTGCCAGCTGCACTGGTGGAGGAGAGAACATCTACACACAGAATGTTATTTGTACCGTCTGAATGCGTACATGCCTCATATAAGATTGGTGTCTGTTGTGCTGGGAACAGTCTGCGGCTTCGGTGCCATTACAAAGGTTCAGCCATGTTTATTGTCAGGCAGGCACGGCCCTAACATGCTTTTTCTGACAAAGTGCTAACTTACGTATACATGATACTTACGTATGCTCAATACTTTCACAAAACAACATCCCCTAGGCTATTACGAAGTCACATAAATTTGTATATATATTTTTATATTACTATTATAAAGTGATCAAAACAGTTTGGTGTAAGTCTTCCCCAGTGTCAATCTGTACCCTGTGTCGTCATCTGGATGTTCATGCTCCGTTCTTATTACATAGGCCCTTGCCCTCCCTTGTTTAATAAATTTTCCTGTTATTCACTTAGAATTAATTGCACATCTTATACCATTCTCAACTTCATTAGCATATTTAAACTTCTGTAACCATTTTATTTGTCAGTCACGGCATCTAAGGCTATTTTGACTTTCAGCAAAAGTGTTTATAAATGTATGTACTTTATATGAGTATGTTCTGATCGATGTTCTGGTGAGAACTACAGTAGACCCTGCACAAAAAACAGTTCATCTCTGCTCAAAGTTCACTCCACAGTTCTGTTTGCTTTGCTGTTTCAAATCTGGTAGAATGGATGTGAACACCATTTCTAGGAGGCATATTACAGTGGTTATGATCTTAGTGTATGCCTATTGAGATATTCTGAAAATGACTGCCCTGGATGTTTTCAGACTCCTATATAAGTTTAACAGTATGATGTGTTTACAGTCTCTTAGTGTAATATCCAGGACTCAACAAAAGTCCAGGTTATGAAATTGATACTGAAAAGGGCAGCTGGACTTTCCAAAGGATAAGTATAAACAAATAAATTACACATTTCAACTTCCTCCACATACAGAATGATAAGTACATCTAAGAAGGATTATTGATGGTACCAGCTGAAAGAAAATCTTTATGTTATGTCTTATAACTATCTTTGGAAAGGGAAAATTAGCATTGGTGAAGTAAAAAAACTCCTCTAGAAATTTAGTGAGTGTTTTTGGCAGCTGTTTGCTTGGTATACAAGTATTAAGGTCAGGTAAACATTTTTTTTGTAGCTTTTTACCAATAGATTAGATACTACTAATAGGAATGTCTGTATATCTCATATTTTGACTATGGGCTTATGAGACTCCTCAGTGAGGTTACCTGGCATCTGGGTCAACGAGCTCATCATGTTCTAGGCTGCTCCATCCCTTATCGTCTTGGGAAAAGGACAGTGTTAAAACAGAGGGGTCTTGTGAACAGCAGAACTAATGAGGTCTGGGTCCTTATTAGTGGACTTTGTGACAGACTGTAAGAACGCTCTTACCCTCAGAGCTGCCAGGTGGTCCCTTAGTTCATCCACCGTAATGACCAAAATTACCTTACCATCCCCAACCTCCTGTTCAACTGCTAGCTGCTTTGTGGCCATACATAGGCTGGCCATTTCTTGCCGCTTAACTATCAGGTGTGCAGAATGCCTTGCCCCTCAACTGGAGATCTGTACAGATAGCTTTGAGAGGTATGTGTATCTCCCCAAGCATGTATTATGTGGGCTTGACCTTAATAACTTTGAAGCCTGTATCAAATTTCACTGTCATGGCCAACGTGCCACTTGTTTGATGTGACTTTCAAGCAGAAAAACAGGGCAAATGTATTAACTTTAAGGTGGTTTGGTTTTGGAGGTGTTTGGTTTTTTTTTAGAAAACCAGGCTAATAGCTAACCAGGCATTTGTCAGTATAAGATGTGTAAACGTTCAGCATGCGAGCAGAGAAGTATTGTCAAGTGATAGGGTAGCTTGAATTTGGTCACATCAGAGAATACATGTGATCTCACCGCAGGCAAAACCCAGTCGCAAGTACCTGATGGGTCAGATGATGGAAGAGAGCTTGAGTATATAGCCTTTGCCTGCCATGATAAGAAGCTGTATGGCAAACAGCTGTATGTTAAGAAACAAAAGTAGGAGATCCCAACTCTAATGAACCTCTACTGGAGTTTGGTTCTTGGTAATCTACATAAAGACAGGCTTTGTAACTGGAATCCTGTGGGAGTAAATGGAGCAAATATAAGGAGGCTCGTTGCCCAGCTGTCCTGAACTCCAGACCTACGCAACATATGTCTGCACCCCCTATGTTTTCTACCCTTTTGTCAGTAACTTGATCAAATATTTATAAATATAACCATTGATTAATTCATATGGCTTTGTAGAAGAATGCATGAAATAATTATAAATGCTAGCGGGGTTGTTTAACATACCAAGTTTTATCTGAATTGTTAAGATATTTTGGAGAGCTCTAAAATCATCAACAGATCCAGTAAAGTGGTAAATTAGTACCAAAATTATCAAATAAAGCAGGAATTGGCTACAAGGAAGATGAGAATTAAATTGTTTAATATTTACTTTTTTAATGGAGCGGAGGGGAGGGTGAATTAGGCTAAGCCATAGCACAGTATTCATTAATATCTTCCTTAATGATGGACAAAACATTAGAGGCATACTGCTGAAATTTGCTTTTAATAAAAAATGAGACACTGCTATTACAGATTAGGATGAGGATGCACTGGATGACCTGCAAATTGGAGTAGTGAGACACCGATGAGATCTTAACCATAATGCTGTACAACAAATCTGGTATCAGTGAAAGAAATATGGGATCAAACTGGAGTGGATGAAGAGAAAACTGCAAGAAACAATAAGGAAAACAAAAATTCAGTATTATAAATGGACCTTGGAAAGTTTGACAATTGTTCATTCTAATAAAAGTTGAGAGAGGCTATCAACACTCTTGACAATTGTGAGTGAATAAATATACAAAGGAAAATCAAGTCAAATGACAATTTTGACAGAAGAACAAATATATGTAAGCATTACTAAACCAATTGTGTAATTAAAAGAAGGTTTGCAGTCTTGGCACCAATGTACTGGGATAGTCTTTCTGTGGAAATAGTGGCGGTAAAAGAAAACTTTCTGAAACATAGAATGCTTTTATGAAAGTGATTATAGGATGTCTTTGCCTAAAATAGCAGAGACGGACTTGATGACATTAGAAGTTTTTGTGTTCATTATACAAAGATGAATATTACTGAAATTGGTAATTTTACCTACAGAAAGCAAGTAGTAGGTCAGAGCTTGCTATAGAAATTGCATGTAAAAGGAGAAACATGTCTACTATCTATTATCAATTCCAGGATTTTGTGAAAAGGTTTACATTTCCTTTAGAAGAAGCATTACTTTACATGATGCCAAATAAACCTTGAAATTCTCTTACTTCTTTTTAAGTTTCATTCAAATGTGGGACACTAATTTTACTGAAACAACTCCGCTTTTGAAGATTCAGTCTTTTGAGGAACAGGCTTTTAAGTTCATAAGAAAAGAGTATTCTAGAGAATTCTGACATACAAAAAGGCTTTATGATTTATGGAAGTTGGGGTTTATGAGGCCATACATTATCAGAATAAATGGTGGTCTTGTTCTTTTGTATTTTCCTAGTTCCTCAG